TGAAGGAACAGCCACTTTAATGGCGGATCTAGCTTTAAGTGACAGTGAGGAAGAGGGAGAACACGAGAAAAGTACAGAATTACAGGAAGACAAGAAGATGGAAGACTGCGAAAAGACTGCGAAAATAGAAAACAAAGAGACAGAGAAGAATGGAAAGACTGAAGACAACGAAAAAGAAGAAAAATGAAAGGGAAGTGAGGAGAAAGAAACGGACAAAGAGGGAGTAAGGAATTGTTGGAAGCTGATACCAATAGATAATATAAGTGTGCCAACGTCAAAAGCAGCCTGGATAAAAGAAATGTGGGAAGCCAGGAACAAGGAAATGCAAGAAAAGAAGATGAAGGTACACTCGGATGACCCAAGGTTCAATGCAAGGTGCAAGAAATGCAGGGAGCGTTTCCACTACACCAAGGATTGCACAAAAGGGAAGAAGGAGACACCATAAATTTGTTGTTAATGAATAAATATATTGGAAACCACCATGTTAATTAGTGAACAGTAAATAAATACATTTGCAATGTTATAAATATGTTTTAAAACGTCAAATAAATAAATGTTTAAATTAAAACAACAAGAGATCAAGATCATTCAACCCAACAAACATTAAGGAAACATTAAAGACAAAAATTGATGGTAAGGGAGAATGAAAATACATAAATCACAGAGGAAATCTGGAAAGAAACAGAGAGGAAAGGGTGAAACAGGACGGAAAAAGGACGAATGTAAAGGAAAGGAGGAGCAAAAACTAACCTCACTCCTCGGGAGAACAGCCGCCATCTTCAGGACTGGCTGGGAGGAGTATCGACGGGTCCAGGACCAACTGATGCAGAGGGCCCTAAGAACAAAAACAAAAACAAAAATAAAGCAACAAAAATCACCTGCAGTAAGCTGAGGGAAGACCCAAAACGCACAAAGGTAAATCGAAGGCATCTGGCACAGATGTAAATGCTGTGAGCACCAAAGAGTTCGGAAAAGGTTTGAAATGATAACTCAAAGACCCCAGGGGAGCGTAGCAAGGTAAATTCGGGAGCACAAAAGGGAGCACAACTTCCACAAATTTGAACAGGCTCAGAATCTTCCACCCCATGGTGATAACACAAGAATACCAGAGCCATGGTAAAGAGATAGCTATCGAGAAAACCGTTGCGTTTTCGAACAGACTGAACGGAAAACAAAAGAGCAGCCTATCTTCGTCGGAGTCCGAGGAATCGGCCGGTCCAACAGGATACCAATCCTCAGATTCTGACTCAGATTCCTCAAGAATGTCTGGCAGGGTCGACACGGAATTAGGACCAAGATTCAAAATTCCATAGTATTCATCCGAGCTGATGCACGGAAAAAAAAGGGTTGGCTCTCACAGACAAGAATTCGCTGCGAGAGCCAATTTATTGGCTGGTCTCGTGACAGCCAAGGAATTAGGTGTGGCAGCCGAGTCCTGGGTTAGCGTAAACCAATCGCTGTTTACAGCAGTAAAATCGCTGTTTGTTGCTTCACTTCACTTGGTTGGCTGGCAAAGCTATTCGGTTTTCGTAATGGCAGCCGACACTACCTACTACTCTGACTAAAAGTGTTTGGTGTTGGAGCGAAATATCAGGAGAGTTCCTGCAACTTGCGTTTTGACGATCACTGTCAGGTGCGTTCGCCACCGAAGTGGTTCAAATGCTCGCCGCCGCACCCACTCAAAATTAGCGCTGTAGACAACTTTCGAGTTGAGCCGAGCAGAGCGCTGCTGTCGCCATGGCCATTTAAAGTTTGCGTGCTGAAATCAAGTTCTCTCTCTTGCTCCGCCGAACGCCGAATGAAGTGTTTCTCCTCAATCAAGGTTCGTCATGTCATCGAACGATTCATCATCTTTGGCGAATCTGCTCGGGTCTTGGGGCCTGTCGAAATATGTCCCAGCCTTTGAACGTAAGTGTTCAGTGTTTTTTTTTGTGGCGTGTGGAGTTTGCTTTAGGCTTTCAGTTTCAAGTGAGCAAAAGCGTAAAATGTTATAGATAATAGGGAAATTATTGAGAACTTGCGGCATTTAAGCTGCTTTCAGGTTAGAGGGGTTACTTCTTTTGTCTCACGAGACACCAGTTGTAGGTGATTTGAGTAACGAGAACGAGAGCTCACATCTAGTTTGAGTTAACTTTGAGGTTAGGGAACAACTCGACCGAGCATGTGTCGGCGACACTTTTTAGAGTTGCATCATATTTGAAGACAATATTTCGTGTTAATTTAGCCGTGTTTTCAACCCATGGTTACCAGTGGTACGGGTGGGATTGTGAAATGTGCTGGAACGTAGATTGTGATCGTTTTAACGCATTTTATCGAGATCGTTTGGATTGTGGGTTAGCTTAGAAAAAAACTTTCTTCGATTTCGTTCTTTTATAATACAACTCTTGTTCTTACAGGTGAAGAGGTGGATCTCGTTTCTGTGAAACATCTCAGTACTGCAGCGGTTAAAAAACTAATTCCGGGTGAAGGACCCAGAGGAACCTTCTACCATCACCTAAGCCTGTACAAACCTCCACCTCCTGTTAACACTGTGAGTGTTTGGTTTCTATGAGTAAACATTGCAAGTGTAATTAGATTCAAAAACGTTACGAAGCCCGTGCATTTCTGATATTTGTTTGCTATGCCAATGTTTCTGAAATCAATATCCGTCGGTTGAAGTCAGCGTGTTTTCAGGTTATGAGGGACTAAATGAATTTCTTTCTGCATCAGGTTGAGCGTGCATCATCGCATAGTCCACCTAGAGACCGAGAACCTGCATCTGCCCCTTCTTCAAAGAGACTGCGAACTGATCAAGAAAATGAACAGCAGCCATTCGCTTTTGTTCAGAATGTAAGTGACTTTTATATATTTTGAACTGGCTTGTATTTAGTTTCTCCTCTTGCTCACTATTGTCAAGGACACTTCTAACCTTCTTTTTCTAATCCGTTGATTAGGCCTTGTACCACAAGCTCAAATCGACAGCAACAGAAGCAAGGCCAGAAGGTGCCATCATTTTGAGCTACTATGCAACTAATAATGAATTGAACGATGCAATGCGAGAGCTCCTTGTTGAACGTGTAATATACAGTGAACTTGGGTGTGACTTTGACAAACGGTACTTGACTTTAAAACTTTTGTTTATTTAGAAACATTTCATTCGAAATTCGCATTTGATTACAATAACTTTTTTGTTTTTGTTTTTAGTATTACCAGACAGCGCTTTTCAGAACTCGCTGAATTAATTGTAGAGTTGTTTCCGAAGGAGTCACCGGTAGGTTTCTAGGAAGTGTACTTTAAATTGAGCGTAAACATTTTGTTACATTTACAGCTAATAATTGCTTCATTACAGCTAACTTATTTTGATGAAGTTGTCAAAGACAAGACGTCATTTGTGGAGGGGTCCCTCAAGAACAAATTTTATGGAGTTAGAAGGGTCTTCCTGAAAGCTGGACTTATCAAAAAGAGAGTTTTGGAAGAGGAAATTGCAGTCCTTGAAGATTTGGGTAAGAGTTTCAGTCTTTTAAACTACAGTTTAAAATAATCTTCTTGGTCCTCCTTTTTAAACGTTTGTTTTCAATTTACAGGTGATGATGTAGATGAGGAGGAAGATGACAACTTTGTATGGCTATTAAACAATTACAGTCCTCTGAATCTTGTTCTGATTAAGTGGGAGGAAACATATATCCGTAGAATGCAAATAAGAACAAGGAACAAGAATGAGAAAGTGTTTCAGTACATGAACCGTTTTCCAGCACTTGCCACATCTGAAGGATATGAATTGGTAAATTATCTAGTCATATGTGTCTGTGACTGTAATTGAATATTTTGTATTAATTAAAATTTGTTACAGTTGCTGCAAGATGCTATCAAACTTCACCCAAGGTTGGCAGAGGTTGTGAACTGGGATACCTTCTTGGCCAATATATTGAGACAACTTTCTGGAAAGAAAGTTCTACAATTTGACGAGGAGACTACCGAGGGTAAGTATTTTTCTCTGAAATAAGTGTATATCATTAATTTGTTGAAGTATCATTTTAAAACTATTTATTTTTAGGTGAGAAAAAACTGACAGCTCTTGTGCAGCTCCCCCACCTCTTCAAAGTTCGAACTCTCCCTAAATCTCGTACTGCTACTAAGGCGTCAAAATGTTGGCGACCATCTCGGGAAGAAATGAAAGAGGGATTCATTCTGCATGTTGAGGTATTGTATTTTTATTGTTTTGATTGTTTTTGATCAGAAGTTGATGAGTCTAATATAGACATTAATCAATAGTCTTTCTTTTAAATAATTGATTCATTTTGTTTTATTTCTTTTGCAGAACGTTTCTGCCATCAAAACTAAACTGTCTGAAAGAACCAAGAGAGTATTCAGCTTTGGATACTCCATGCAACCTGTGCCTGTTATTGTTGGAAATTTGTCTAACATCCGACAAAGCTTTGTTTGTCTTGACAAATACCGCTGGGAGGTAGATAGTCCAACTCAAGCTGTAGAAGTTGCACTGAAAGTTGCTTTTGCCCTTGATTGTGCATTCCCACCTGAAGCAAAGCACTGTTGGTTGTATGTGCAGAGGCTTCTCTTCAAACTAGAACTTGACAGTGATTTTTCAAACGACAAAGGACTTAGGTCATATATGGCAAGTGCTCTAAATAATTTTGTATCTTAATTGAACTTATTGTTTAAGCTTTGAGGTTTACTGTGCTATAGTAACTTAGTTTGTTTTCTATATTGTGGGTTGATATCTGTTTTTCTTTTGGGTCCCCCTCTTTGTTTTTTTGGGGATGACATCCATCTTTAGTTAAGCATACTCATTTGAAGTCTTTAAGCTTTGCTACATTTACTAATCTATGTATAAAAAATACATAGTCTTTTCTTTTTTGTTATTTGATGTTCACCTTTGTTTTTGGGTGTTGACATTCATCTTTATTTATTTTGTGCTAGTCACTTTCATACTTAAAGGACTTTTTTGGTTCAAAACCTACGTAATCTTTTTCATATTATTTCTCAATTGAAGTATTGCCATCATGAAGTGTTTTCTTTGTCATACTGAAATTCAACAAAAAGAATGTAATGTCCATTTTAAGTCATGTCACGGAGGTGTTAATGTGAGTAAATTAACATCTATAACATGTCCTGAAGACGATTGTGGTAGGCTTTTTCCTACTTATAACTCTTACAAAAAACATGCAAATGCAGAACATAGTGAACCAAATTTAGTTGAAGTCAGTGCTGTTGATTTGCCTAGTAGTTCTAGTTTAAATCAGCATTGTGAAAATGTCAACCAGCAAGATCATGACTCTAGTTCTGTTTCTGTTGATGCAACAAAGCTTTATGATTGTTCTAGAAAGTTAGAGAACTTTGATCTCTCTGTTATTTCTCAAGTTGATCAACTTGTTGCTAAGTTATATAGTTTGAATCACTTTCCTCGGTCTCATGTTCAGACAGTTATTGAAGACTTTTCTACATTAAATCGTGATTTAATTTCTCCCTTAGAAAGTGCTGTAAATGAAACCTTAACTGATTGTGGGGCGTCTACCTCTCAATTTTCTCATATTAGCAACATGTTTAAGATTGTAACCAACTCTTTCGAGCATTTGAAGACAGAATACCGCAGGTTGCAATATTTTACTGAGTCTGGTTGTTACATTGCTCCCATACAGTATGAGCTTGGAGAAGTTGATATTGCTTGCCATTCATCAGACGGTTCTCTTTTAAAAAAGAAAATGTTGTATGGACAAAAGATTCCTTTAGACAAGGTTCTCACAAAGTTCTTGGAGTTACCTGATTCTTTATCTTCTGTCATGGACTATGTTGAATATTTAAAGACTCAAAATGACATTCGCAATTATATGCAATGCCCACACTGGCAATCTAAACGTTCAAAGTTCTCAGTTGATGATATTGTTCTTCCTTTATGGGTGTACTACGATGATTTTGAATGTAACAACCCATTAGGTTCTAATTGTTTAAAATTAGGTGGAACATATGTGTCTTTACCTTGTCTTCCTCCCGAATGTCAGAGTAATATTGAAAACATATTTGTTGCTCTTATTTTTAAGACAAAGTACAGAGGTTTGTTTGGAGATAAGGTGTTGTTTTCTCCTCTTATTGAAATGCTTACTCAGCTTGAGAAGGAAGGTATTTTAGTTAGTACTAGTGATGGACCAAAACGTGTATATGTTATCACGAGTCTTCTTCTTGGTGACAATCTTGGTATTAATTCTCTTGGTGGATTTGCAGAGTCCTTTGGTGCTAATTATTTTTGTCGCTTTTGCAAAACTCACCGCTGTGATACTTTTACTCAGCTTGAGGAAGATAGTGCTACTCTCAGAGATGAGATTTCATACAAGGAAGATGTTGATACTGACAATGTCAAAGTTAGAGGTATTAAGTCAGAGTGTGCTCTCAATGTTTTGCCTTCCTTTCATATTACCTCAAATTATTCTATAGATTCTTTTCACGACTTGAACGAAGGCGTTGCTCATTATACAATGCTCCATGTTTTACGCCATTGCATTCCTAAATATTTTGATGTTGATTGTTTGAATGATAGAATCTCTATGTATCAGTATGGTGTATGTGAGTCGAACAAAGTGCCTCTATTACATAGTGAGTTTGCTGACCGGCGTAAGCTCAAAATGTCAGGTTCAGAAACTTTTGTGTTTGTGAAACATTTTGGATTAATTATTGGTGACTTGGTACCTTCTTCTGACCCCTTTTGGCGACTCTATGTTAAACTTCGACAAGTTTTTGATGTCTGTCAATCTAAGATACTAACTAGGTCAAAAGCAATAGTTTTAAAGGTTCTTGTTAAGGAGTTCAACTCTTTGTACTTGTCTGTCACAAATGATACCTTAAAGCCTAAATTCCACAATTTAGTTCATTATCCAAGAGCATTATTAGAATGTGGTGCTTTTGAACAGATGTCCACAAAACCCTTTGAAAGGAAACATAGAGATCTTTTGGCTCCTGCACACGCCACAACTTCCCGTAGAAATGTTGGTCTGACCATTGCTAAACAAATTCAACTTAATCTGTGCTTTAGGCTTTTGTCTAATAAGTCAATTTTGCCAAAAACTTTGTTTGGTCCATCTGATGTGATATCTCTGTATGATCTTGATTGTTACTTAGCAATAGCTAAGCGTCTCCCTAGTATTATTTTATCAAATGCATCCACATGCTTGTCACACAATTGGGTTGAAATTAAGGGCACCATGTACAAAACTGGTATGGTTTTGTTTATAAATGTTAATGAAGCTGGGCCTGTGTTTGGTATGATCGAATTTATTATTTCGAGAGATGAATGCATTTCATTTGTATTTAGGTACTTTGTTACTTTTGGCTTCAACCAACATGTCTGTGCATTCGAAGTGGACAATAGTAATGTTTTTTCTTGCATTTCTCAAAGTGACTTGTTCGACCCTATGCCACTCTCTTTAAATTTCTCCATAGAAAATGAGAAATATGTCATTTTAAGACATGCTATGTAGGGAACTATATCTCTCTTGTTATTTACTTGTGTATAGATTTATCATTAATTTGTGCAATTTAATGAGATGTTTTGATTCTAAGAATCTTTTCTGAATGGTCTGTTATGCTTGTGCTTGTCACAAATTTTGTACGTATATTTTTTTGTATAAATATCTATTTTTGTTAATTAGAGCCATCAAATGAGACTGACTGTTTTCTAACCAAAGTAAAGTTAACTTTACTTGTTTAAATGTTTATTTTTGTTAATTTCTGTTTGATAAACGGTCACCTTGACCTGTGACAATTGTGTGCTAGTCACTATTGTTTTTTCCTTGTGGACAGACAAATAAAACTACATCTAATACATAAAATATTTTTATTTTCTGACATTTTTACTGAGCTCGCCGGCTAGGTGGCTCGGAGGGTACATCTCATGCTGCAGCTCTGAAGTTCAGTGCCTTTCTCAAACCCTTGCAAACTAGAGCTACTCTATTTCGGAGCCGTGCATAAAAAGTTTGCTACACTGCGTAAGCAGTATTCCCTGCAGTGGCGAATTGGGGATTGAGAACAGCAACCAACCATGGTTTCGTTGTAGTGAGCACGCTGCATTAGCTGCGCTGGCCTACCCGAAATTAGCTCTGGTGACGAACTTTTTTTGGTTGCCGTGTTAAATATGTCTTAACTTCCCTACCCTCTCTAAGATTTGTTGGTCTTACAAATCGAATTAGTGCCCAGAGCCGATGTGTTGGCTGTCACCTAGCCAGCCAACTTATTGGTTCTGACAACCAATTTTTTTTTTCCGTGTGACGCCGTCTTTGTTGCGATTTATTACTATTACGAACTTCAGATGAAGTCCTACAACGAATGCATAACTGCAATAAAATATAAAATTTAAGGAACACAAGAAAAATGAAGAAAAAAAAAAGAGAGAACGAAACATACATAGCAAGGGCCATAGCAATATCCGCAAGTACACCACTCATCATTAAGACCAAACACCAACTCGTTGACCACCAAATCTTCCTCGAAGAAACTGTCGTCCAAAACTTCCCATTTATTACTATTACGAACTTCAGATGAAGTCCCACAACGAATGCATAACTGCAATAAAATATAAAATTTAAGGAACACAAGAAAAATGAAGAAAGAGAACTGGAAAAGGAAAGGTAGACCTACCCGGCGAGAAGCCCAGCCAGCGGGGCGGTAAAGCCCCCGAAGAAGCTGCACACAGATGAGGCGCGCAAAGTCCCCATATTCAGCGTTAAGCTGATCAGACTCTTCTTGCGGCTCAGGCAGATCACTAGTGATCAGAGCACTTAACGACACGGCACCGGGATCACGAGGGGCCATTGTTAAGACGAAGAACGCACAAGAAAAGAACAGGTGCCGGATTTTCGAAAATAACAGCCAAAGAGCGCTCACGAGACGGACGGAAACAAAAGATAATCGAAAAGACCGAATTCAAACAGCCATAGAAGGCAGTGAGAAGGAAGGAGGAGGAGAGAAAGGAAGAGTTGTTGAGAAATAAAAATCAATAAAGCAGCAAAGTTGTGCAGAAACAACAACAGCAAAAAATTTTTCTAAAGAAATTACACAAGACGACGCTGAGAAAAGGAAACCGGACTACGACGCGGGAACAACAACGCAGACTCGCCGAGGGACAACATCAACATGAAGAAACTTCAAAACAAAAGCTAAGTGCCATAACCTAGAGAAGGTTCATAAGTTGTGTGATAGGTCTAGTTTCACAAATAAAGGTGTCACGTAGGTAGGACTAAGCAGTAGGAGACACCTAGGCTAGTTAAAACTAATCATCCAACAAGAGTTGGGTGACATGACAGTGTCTTCTTTCGGAAATGTTGTGTGTTTCAGGTCACACAACAAACCCAGCATCAAGACAGCAAGAC